AATGAGGTCTGAGAGCAAACAAAGTAGTCCCTTCAGGAGTACCGTTTTTCAAGACATAGCAGAAATAAACAATATTAAGAAGTATGATATTTTTCTCTTGGGGTAAATGAATATACTTGCCGAGTGAAATGAAATTTGAACAACAGTAATGGTACCTTTAGCCAGTCACTTATTTTGACTAAAACTAATTTGCATATCACCCATGCAATAATGTTTTCGGTATTTTCACGGTTCATATGCAAATGAACATGATATTTCCATTGGCTACCAAACTATTTTTATTTTGTAAACACATTTTCGTCTGCTATTTTTGTCCGGTTCAAATCGTCAGGCAACATTTTTGGCGTTTTAGGTGTACATCACATGGAATACTACGATTGGGAGAACTTAATGTATGTTGACCACCTGGAAACTGAGTTTTATAAACCTTGAAAGGCTCGCGGAAGATCCACCCGCAGTAAAATCAGCGATTACTATGCAGCCGTAACCATCAACATCGAGATACCAGGAGGTTTCTGCTGGCGACATTGTGGCGTTACTCAGTTCCAAATAAAAATTACCAACGCCAAATGACCAAAATTTTAACCGGTAACCAAGACTCAGTCAATTCACGACCAGCAAGCAACATCACCCACAAAGTTGTAGCATGTAGCTCAGCGACGACCACTGCCGACGAAAGTTATCCCGTCAGTGGAGTACCGCAGTTGCACGGCATGTTTGCCAAATGAATGCACAATTCTGCAGAGGAACTTTTAACTTCAACATAAACTGTATTATAGTCGTCCAGTTCAAGTTCTGGTTCTGTCGTGGTCCCAACTAAATGTCCACGAGTTATTTGTTCGAGATGCGGTGTATTCTGCTGTACTTTCACTCGCTTCTCTCGTGAAAGTACGGCCGCAGGATACGCCGCATCAATCGTGAAAATAACCATACGCAACGAAAGCCACGGGGAAGGTGTGGGGTTCTGTCATATTATTGATTTACCATACAAAATTAAAGTTAAAAGAAATGTGAAAATTCATGACATTGTGTTATCTATATCTCTCAGTGACAAAAACCAAGTATGCACATTCAACTGACAACAATGTTTCACAAATGACTGTATGCCATTGTTAACTCTAAATACGATACTTGCCATCTCATTGCAGCCAAAGAAATGTAAAAATTCATGATATTGTGGTATCTATATCTCTCAGTGACAAAAACCAAGTATGCACATTCAACTGACAACAATGTTACACAAATGACTGTATGCCATTGTTAACTCTAAATACGATACTTGCCATCTCATTGCAGCCAAAGAAATGTAAAAATTCATGACATTGTGGTATCTATATCTCTCAGTGACAAAAACCAAGTATGCACATTCAACTGACAACAATGTTACACAAATGACTGTATGCCATTGTTAACTCTAAATACGATACTTGCCATCTCATTGCAGCCACGGGCAGTCTACTGCAAAGATGTATTGGATATAGAGCAATTTTCAACTGTCAAAGGCGTGAATCTCGATCAGAATGATGACATGTTTTATTCTAAATTCAGCACTGGAAGTGTGACAATACCATGGCAAAACGAGGTAAGTACTGCACCGAGTACCAATTATTGAGACAGACTATTGGTATGTCATTTACAGTAGTGGTTTTTACCTTGCCCGTACCATCAAAGATGGAAGGGAAAGGTATATTAAGGGAAAAATTTTGTCCGGCATTGTAGTTGTTGTCGTCGTTGTCGTTAATAATTGTTATTGTGTGCATAATAACTTTACTAATTCTATTCCAAACTTTATCAAACTTGGTCATCTTATTCATCAGTATAAATTCTTCCCTGAGTTTGAACAACAGATGTCCTGTATGAAAATATCATGCAAAAATTGAGAAAATCTGATAAAATATTTTGACTGTTTCTACTTGATCACTGGTGATACACTGATCTCAGTGGAAATATGCATTGTTGTATGTGTTCAATGAAGCAAATGATTTATCTTGTATTATATTATACCAGTATATTGATGGTGTTAATCCATTGATTTGATTGGTCCAAACACAAAATTTGCATATGCAATCCATGGTATATTGGCTGATAATGCACGGCTAAACCAAGTGGCCCTGGAACATGAATTGACTACAGGTTCAATACGGAAATACATAAAACCGGTATTATTTGATTTTTAGGGAAATATAGTGGTTGAATTTTGGAAGATATTAAAAAAATACTGAATTAAAACATCTGAAAAGTTATATAACTATAATATTGCTTTTTGTAATGTGGATCCAAGTTGTGAGCGTCGGT